GCAGCCCTCTGCCCCATCCCCGGACATCGTCTCCGGCACAGGGGCCGGCGGGCAGAGCCGGGGTCCCCTCTCCGTCGGGGGACCGCAGGGTGCCACCGCTCCTGCCGGTTCCCTGCCTGATGCTGTGTTCTCCTCTCTCTCTCTCTCTCTCTCCCGCTGCCTGCGGGGCCGCCTGGGCAGGGAAGGCCGGATGGTGGTGTTATCCCTGGTTTTGGGACTCTCAGAGCAAGATGACTTTGCCAATATCCCCGACCTGCAACCCGCTGGGACGCAGCCGAACCAGCCGAACGCTCAGGGGGACAAGAGGTATGAGCAAGGACGAGGGCAGTCCCGCAGGAGGAGGAGACGAGGGCCTCACCCAGGGTGGAGGAGGAGGAGGAGGAGGCTGGCCTCGTGGAGCGCGAAGGTTGGAGCGGCACAGGGTGGCCCAGCGGGCAGCGGGCACGGTGACGTCTGCAGCTCTCCCCAGCCGGCACCCGCGGTCCTGTCTCCGGAGCGGCAGCACCGAGAGGACCCCCCATCCCTTCCTCCTCCCTCCCTGCCCTCCCCCTCCTGCCAGCCCCAGCCGCCAGCCCCCCGCCCTGGCTGCATGCTGGGGGGCACACGCTCGGGAGTGGGGCGCAGGGCAGGGGAGAGTCCCTGTGCCGGGAGGAGAACGGGGTGCAGGGGGGGACCAGGCTCACGGGACCCCCTGACAATGCCGCGTCGGCAGCTGAGCCGCGTCCCATCCCAACGCATGTCTCGTGCACCGCACTGCCGCGACCTCCAGCCCGGCGGGGCCGTTTGCAGCTGGGCAGCTCCCCCGGGGACACAGGGACATCGCTGCGGTGGCATGTGCTCAGCCCTTGCTCAAACCCCAAGGCTGACCGGGGACAGAGCAAGCGGCACAGGCTGGGGGGGACGTGTTACCCCCCTTTCTCCTCCAAGCAAGCTGCACAGCAGCGTGGCACAGACCCTCACCTCCGGCTGCTCCGTGCCTTCCTGGGGTGCCGAAGGCTCGGCACTGCATCCGGCACTGACACCGGAGCCCAGCCAGCGCCCAGCCGCGGCCACCGGCAAGGGCTGGCAGGAGCAGAGGGACCGTGCGCCACTGGGAGCGGGTGTTAATCCCCTCCAGAGCGGGGAGGAGGTGTGAAGCCGGCGGGCACTGCCTCCCCGCATGCTCGGCGTGTTAATGAACTGGCACCGTTCTCGCCCACCGGCTATTTTTACCCTGCTCGGCTTGGTTTTGCTCCATCTTTTAGCACTTCCCTCCCCGGCGTCGCGCTGCGCAGCCGGCCCCTGCGGGGAGCACCGGCCACCATGCCGTATCGTGCTGGCTGCCCCATGCCAGGCGAGGGGACGGGGGACACTGGGTGCCGGGCACAGGGTGTGGGTGGCTGTGCCGCAGCAAGACCCTGCTCCCCGCTTCCCCCCAGCTCGCTGGTCCGAAAGACCCATCCCAGTGCACGCATGGCCTCCCCGCCTCCATTTCCCCCCTGCTTCCTATCCCCTTGGGCCCTGCGGGACACGGGGGGCTCAGCCGGTGGAGGGGACGGGCTCTGGCACCCTCCACTCTTGCCTGCCCACCCAGCACTGCCAGCCACCCGCTCTTCTGCCTCAAAACTTCTCCTCCATCCCTGTTTCTCAGCTTCTTCCTTCCAGCCCGTCCCTGGCAGCTCCAGCCCGGCGCCTCGGCGTGTCTCCTGTCCCGGCGACTAACCGCTCTCCGTCCGTCCATCCGCCCCGCTCCTCTCTTCCCCCTTCCCTCCCGGCAGGCCAGTGGTGGACGACGCTGCTCCTCCTCTCTCTTGCTCTTTCCCGCTCTCTCTCTCTCGCTGTCTGTGACCTCCGCCGACGCGCGCCACTGCCCCGGCACCCATGGCTCCACTGGCGCCTTCTCGCCCAGCGGGCCCCGCCGCCGGCTCCTCAGCCTTCATTTTCACTCTGTTCTTAACCTGACTTTGCCTCTCCAGCTACCTTGGGCTCTCTGGTCCTCCCGGCGTGTCGTCCCGCCGGGGCGGGCGAGCCGTGTGTGTGTGGGTGTGTGAGAGGGCTGCCGCCCCGTGCCGCTGCGTGTGCCTCCGTCCCCGTCGCCCCCAGGTCCCCTCCCTGCGTCTCCATCAGCGTGTGTCTGCGTGTGCTTGGCGTGTCGGTGGGTGTCTCGTGGCATGCGTTGTGGCTTTGCCCGCTGAGCCCGCCGCGGCGCTGGGGCTGTGCCGGCGGCATGCTGCCCGCCGTGGTGTGTGTCCTGTTGGTCCATCTGTTGGTTTCTCACCGTGTCTCGGCTCGGGCAGGAGCTGCGGCGGGTGGGAGCGTGGGGTGCACTGTGGGGTGCCTGTTTGTGTGCGCATCCCCTCCCTCTTGGACCTGTCTGCACCACGGGAGCCACCCAGGGCTGCCCCGTCCCTGCTGCCATGCGCCTGTGTCCCCTGTTGTCCCTGTGCATCGTGGCAGCGTGGCCCCGGCGTGTGCCCACCCGCCTCCATCGCTGCTCTGTCCGTGCACCCGCCGCAGCTCCCAGCTGCCCACCCTCCCGCCGGGCCGTTCCCTCCCCGGCACCATGCCCGCCGTCCCGCAGCCAGCCGGGAGCCAGTGGCATGGTCCCCTCCCCGAGACCCGGCTGCCGCAGTCGGGATGTGTGGGGACAGCCGGGGCAGCGGTCCCGGCTGCGGGGCACCGGGGAGGGCTCGATGGCAGAAGGAAAGGGGGACAGTTAGCACCGGGCACCGAGCCCTCGCCGCAGCACGAAGCACCCGTGGGTCAGCTACGCACCCAGCCCCACGCCAGGGTGTGAAGGGGCTGTGCGTGGGTGAGGCGCAGCCAGAGCCGCGGGTGCTGGTGGGGATCCGGTAGCCACGGGGCCAGGCTGCCCCTGGCATCACCGTGGGCTCTGCGGGCACCAGGGGTGGGATGTGGCCAGGGGGACATGAGCAGCATGGGGCCAGCTGCCGGGCTCCCAGGCGACGTGCCGCAGGTCCCAGGGCACCGGCTGGCACCCAGCCCTGCCTGGCGGCAGCGCAGACAAAACCAGCTGCCTGCACTGGCCAGGGCCCCTCTGTGCGGGGAGGCTGGTGGGCTGCAGCGGGTGGCACACAGCCACCGGCGGCACAGCCCCGGGTGTCCCTGCAGCCCAGCTCTGCCCGCATCCCAGCTGGCAGCCTCCATTGAGGGCTGGCACAGACCAGTCGCAGCATCCCCTGGGAGAGGGGGTCTGGGGAGCCCCCTCGCTGTCTCGCCCTTGGCCCTTGGCCCCTCTCCTCTAAGGCGCTGCCTCTCTTTCCCCAGGTTGCCGGCTGGCAGCAAGGCGGTGAACACGGCTCCGGTACCCGGGCAGCCATCGCACGATGAGTCCGACCGCAAGACGGAGCCGCGCTCCTCCGTCTCTGACCTGGTCAACTCCCTGACCAGTGAGATGCTCATGGTGGGTGGATGGGGTGTGGTGGGGACGGGCTTTCCCGGTCTTTCCCGCGCCCGCCCTGTGCCACAAGCACCCTGGCACGTCCCAGCCCACTCTGCCAAGTCCCCGTCACAGGCGGGCGCCGTGGCCCCGGCTCAGCCGAGGTGACGCAGCCGTCCCCCCCCGGGCCGGCACGAGGAAGCGGTGCCGGAGCTGTGAGGGACAGGCTGTCAGGAAGAATTTGGTTAATTGGCACTCGCTGTCTCCGGGATGCGTGGCACTGAGCCAGGAGTCATCCGAGGCGATGGTGATGGCAGGGAGCCAGGGAGAGGCTGGTGCCCCCTGACAGCTTGCGGGGCTGGGGGTCGGGTGCTGGTGTGAACCAAGTTCAGGTGCCGAAATGGCGGGGACGGGGGTGTGCAGACCCCGCTGGTGGTCCCATGATGGCCCCCCAGCACTGTGCTCACCACCCTTCTCCCCCCGCCGCAGCTCTCCCCAGGCTCCGAGGACGACGAGGGTCACGAGGGCATCAGCCGGGAGAACCTGGGCCGCATCCAGTTCAGCGTCGGCTACAACTTCCAGGAGTCCACCCTGACTGTCAAGATCATGAAGGCGCAGGAGCTGCCAGCCAAGGACTTCAGCGGCACCAGCGACCCCTTTGTCAAGATCTACCTGCTCCCCGACAAGAAGCACAAGCTGGAGACCAAGGTGAAGCGGAAGAACCTCAACCCGCACTGGAACGAGACCTTCCTCTTTGAAGGTAGGGGCTGGGATGGACTGGGGTGGGAGCGGAGCGGTTGCGGGACCCTCTGTCCTCCCTCCTGAGCTGGACCAGCTCAGCTCGAGCTGCCAACGTGGTGGCCATTGGTGATGAGATGGGTTGGCCAAGCCATCAACGCCAGGTTGGAGGTGTTTGCTCTGTGTCCCATGAAGGGGACACGGGGGCAGGCTCCTTCTCCCTGCAGCAGGCACCCATGGGTGGGTGCGCGGAGGGGAATTAATCTGCTACCAGCCATCGCCGTGGCCTGAAGCCACAAGAGGTGCCCCGTGCTGTCATCTGCTCCCCATCCACTGCCTGGTGCCAACATCTCCCCATCAGCACGGGCAAGGCAGGGTGGCCCCAGCACCGGGTGCTGCTTGGCATGGCCGCGGCAGCTCCTCATCCCCTCTGTCTCTGGCACAGGGTTCCCCTATGAGAAGGTGGTGCAGCGGGTGCTGTACCTCCAGGTCCTGGACTACGACCGTTTCAGCCGCAACGACCCCATCGGGGAGGTGTCCATCCCCCTCAACAAGGTGGACCTCACCCAGATGCAGACCTTCTGGAAGGACCTGAAGCCATGCAGCGACGGCAGCGTAAGGCCCTGGTCCCCCTTGCACCCCCTGGGGATGGTCCTTGAGGGGAGGCTACCCCCTGTCCCTGTGGTGTCCCAACAAGGCCACCCTCTTGCTGCCCCAACAGGGACATTTTCCGCTTTGCAAGAAGGTTCGACATCCAACAGAGAGGTTCCTCTTCTCAAATCTTTATCTTTATATTAAGACACTGAGTAGCCTAAAGCGAGTGTCTCATTTTGGGTCAAAAAGAGCTGTTGCAGGTAGATCTAAAATGAACATTTTCTTTTTCTCCTGCCTCCAGCAAGACCAGAAAACATCCCACTGGGGATGGCCCCGTCTCCTCCTGCCCTGATTTTCCGTGCAGCCCCAAAGTCCACCTTTGGGACGGCTCTGGGGGGTCCCAGCCCAGCACCTCACTCCCATGGTGGGACACAGGGGCTTTGGGTGCCCCGTCAGGGCTTGGGCTGGGTGCCGCGGCAAGGGGTGGGTGTTCTCGGGGCGTCCACCTAAAAGCCTCCGTGGGTCCCACAGGGAAGCCGTGGGGAGCTGCTGCTGTCGCTGTGCTACAATCCCTCCGCCAACTCCATCGTGGTGAACATCATCAAAGCGCGTAACCTTAAAGCCATGGACATTGGGGGCACGTCAGGTACGAGCTCTGGCTCCTGCCATGCCGGGCATCGCTGCCCAACACCTGGCCGGGTCTGAGAGCAGCTCCTCTCCCCCCAGACCCCTACGTGAAGGTGTGGCTGATGTACAAGGACAAGCGGGTGGAGAAGAAGAAGACAGTGGTCATGAAGCGGTGCCTGAACCCCGTCTTCAATGAGTCCTTCGCCTTCGACATCCCCACAGAGCGGCTGCGCGAGACGACCATCGTCATCACCGTCATGGACAAGGACAGGCTGAGCCGCAACGACGTCATCGGCAAGGTGGGTCCCGCGGCATTGGCGTGCGGTGGAGGGACCCCAGAAATGTGTCCCACCGAGGGATGGCACCTGGGGGACAGCCGGGTCCCTGGCTGATGGCGACCGGTGCCATCTCAAGCTGGAGAGGAAGGTGGAGTGCAGCAGGGGCCCCTCGTGCTGGCTTTCCTTGGCCATCTCCGGTCTCGGCCGCGGTGTGTGGCGGCAAGGACTCACCCAGCACAAGTGGGGAGACGATGCGGTGGCCCCCATCCAGCGTGGCCATGTCCCGCACCTCCTGCCACACCGTGCTGCAGCACAGCCTGCGCCAGGGTGAGCGTCAACCTGCCAAAAGTCTATTTATAGCGAGGCAAAAATCAAAGTCCCCGATGGCTCCTGTGTGCCACGGTGCCAGGTAGAGCCGGAGCCCTCCCTGCGGCGGCACCGTCCCTGGCTGCGGGAGAGCAGGGACGGGGCATGGGGCTTGGTCGCGGGTCTCCGGGGTTCGCATCCACCACCGGACGGGCTCCCATCCCCACGCCGGGGTTACCCACCGCCTCCCAATGACAGGAACAGAGGAATTCATCCACTCTCGATTTGATTTACGTTAAATCCATCCAGCTCGCTGCTCATTAGGGTAACGATGACAAACGAGCGCAGTAATCTCAGTTATTACTGCTCACCGCAGAGAATCGTTGATCCCCAAACGCAGCGCGGTAATCAAGCGAACACGGAGATTGGGATAAACCCGGGAGGGGGTGGCCACAGTGGCTCAGCACCGCGGGCTGCCGGAGACGGGCAGAGGTGCCGGCGGCCCTGGCGTTGACACAGCCCAGAGGGGACGTCGCCGGTGGCACGGGCACAGCTGCACCCAGAGCCCAACACCAGCCAACAGGCTGCATGGACGGACAGACAGACGGTGCCCATGATGTCTCCGCTTTGCATTGAAGCTGCCAGGAGCATCGCAGCGCGAGAGCAAAGCGGTGCTGCCGGCGGCAGAGCCGGAGGAGAGGACCGTGCCCTTCACGCCCCGGCCGCCCCGCCGTGGCCGGCAGCGTGCTAATCACTTTTGATTGCGTGATTAGCAGCGAGCCCTGCTCTGGCGTGGCAATCCGCTTAGCCGGAGCGGCGGCACGGGCTCCCCGAGCTGTCAGCTGTGGGCAGGGCTGGCACGCACGGTTTTCCGCGTCGTCGTATGGAAAATTGATGGATAAAAATAGCCCGGCCTTGCGCAGAGGCCGGGGCTGGTGCCCGCGGCCGGCGGCATGCACCGGAGGAGCGGGGAGGGAGGAGGTTGGGGGTGAAGGCGGCAGCACCGGGGAGTGGGATGGGGCTGGAAGGGCCAGGAACGGAGCCGTGGGTCCAAGGGCTGCCTGTCCCTGCAGATCTACCTGTCCTCACAGTGGCACCAGCTGAAGGCCTGAGCACCCCGGGACGGCGAGGCCGGGGGTCCCCCTTCCCAGCCCCCATCACCTCTCCGAGGGGCTCCCGGCGAGGAGCCGAGGGACCAGCGGGACGGTGGCCCAGCGCACGGGGACTCTGCGGTAGGAGGGGGACAGAGCCCCCCGGCCCCTCGCTTTCGCCTCTCCCCGGCGCTGGGGCGTGGGGGGCACGCAGCCACCCAGGACCCCCAGCCGAGAAGGGTGCCACAAGCGATGAACCCCCCGTCCCCATCCCCGCCACCAGGCAGGACTTCTGCAAGTGCTTCCAGCCCCGGTCCCTGGGAGCCCCTCTGCCCTTCCCCAGCCTCACCCCCCCATTTCAGGGGGCCAGGCTGTGGGTGCAAGAGGGTGCCCCCCCCTCCTCTCCCCTCCCCTTTCAGCTCAATAAAACCTCTCCGAGCCGTCAGCGTCGCCCAAGCGGGGCCACGGAGCCCCCCATCCCCTGCCTCGTCCCCACCGCCTTCCCCGAGCCCCCCGGCCACGCTGGGCTGGCACGGGGTGGGGGGCACCCGGGGGTGAGGGCAGCCCCCTTCCCTGGGCCAGGCGCAGGCTCCTGGGATCGGAAGCCATGACACAGTTCGTTAGCCAAAGCGGGCTCGTTTGTGCACTGCCTTCAGCCGGGTTTGATGCTTTACCTCCATTTTTGGGTTCAGCGGGAGGTCGATAACCCCGTCCTGGGGCTCGCTCCCCTGCATGGGGACCCCCCATCCTGCCCCCACCTCGGCTCTTCCCCCCGTTACCCCCACGCCAGGCATGTCCCTGCGGGGCTGGGCAGGGGACCGGCCTCGAGCCAAGCGGTGGCCCCGTGGGGAGATGCTGAGCCCCAGAGCATCCCCTTCCAGCCGGGCTGACCCAGGCACCAGGGCTGGTCCAGGACCCCCGTGAGCCCTGTGCCCAGCGCTAGGGTCCCTGGGGAAAATGGGATGGAGCAAGCGCCATTGTCCCCATCCCAGGCAGGTGGCATTCCCTGGGCCGGCCAGCCTGGCAGGACCAGTGCCAGCAGCATCCCCGCGGTGCCTGCATCTCCCTGTCGGCTCCCCCCGGGATGCACGTGCCGGACCCCTGCCCGCTCCCCGGGGCCAAGGCTGCTGGGACAGGGGCTCCCCAAAGCGGGGACAGACCCACCTGGGAGCCCCACAGGGTGCAGGGGCTTGGGGCAGCTCCCGGGGAGGGTGACGGATGGGGTCACCCAGCGGGATCACGCCCTGCGGGTCTTCCTCACCGCCCTGCGCTGGCGGGGTCGGCGGTGGCTCACCGCAGTGGCCATGGGTCCTGGCAGGACCTTCCTCTTGCCGGGATTGCCGGGCGGTGGAGCGGGTCCAGCAGGACCCGGCGTGGGGGGGGTCGGCGGTGGCTCCCCGCAGTGGCCATGGGTCCTGGCAGGACCTTCCTCTTGCCGGGATTGCCGGGCGGTGGAGCGGGTCCAGCAGGACCACAGCAGCGTGGGGTGTGATGTGACACATCCCTGCCCGTCCCCCATCCCCAGCAGGTGACACCGGTGCTTCTTGGTGTCCCGCTGCTCCGCCAGGACTGGCACGAGGCGAGGACGCAGTGGCCAGGGTGTGTGTCCCCGTGGGGGGGGCTCCCGGGGTGCCCCGCCGGCCCCTGTGCCGGGTAAGCGGAGCCCCTCCAGGCTGGCCGGGGTGGGGGTCCCGTCAGCCCCCAGTCTCACGGCTTCTTCTGACCGGAGGGGCATCGGCCGAGCCCTCCCGGAGGAGGGGAGAGGTGGGTGCTGCCGCCTCCGCAGCCATCTCAGGTAGGGCACGGCCACCCGCGGGCGTGGGGGGCACCCAGAGCAAGCCCAAAGGCAGCCGGGTGCCCACCAGCACAGAGCCACCCCGCCTGGCCAGGGGTCCCCCATCCTCAGTCTTCCTGCTCCCTCCGCTGCCCCTATGGCACCCACCACCCTTCTCCCCTCCTGCACCCATGGGGAGGACACTGACACCCCACCACTCGGGTACCACCGACGCCACAGGCTGTGCCCTGGGGGGGCTGCATGCAGCCGGGAGCCCGGTTTCAGCGAGTGAGAGCATTTCACCCCGTCACCATCGTCCCTGCGTCGCAGCCCACGTACAGGCACCTGCTGCGCGCTGCGGCGGGCACGTCTCCACCAACGTTAATGCCACCCCGCCGGGCTAGGCGGGGACACGGGGTGCTGGGGGGGCCCCCGAGGTGCTCCATGGGGTTCCTCCACTGCACTGGGCACCCCCAAAAGTCCCCGGGGTGCCCAGCTGCTTGTTCCTTCTCCTGCCAAGGGGGACATCCCCGCCGCCCCGGGGCCATGCGGGGACAAGCCACCTGGGGACCCGGCGGCAGCGGGACCGGGACCATCCTGTGGCTGCAGCCGGGAAGGGTTCGGCAGCCCCCGCAGTCCCACTTTAGACAATTTTGGACAATCTGGAGAGAAGTCATAATACTGCTACTACAGTAATAATAATGCTTTTAGGGACATTTGTATTTTTATCATATTCTCTCTTTTTTTAACATAAAAGAAGAGATTTACATGCCTGGGGAAGGGGCTGGAGCCGAGGGGCGGCAGGGCCAGGGCACCCCAAAGCCAGGCAGGGGCAGCCCGGGTGCTGGCGGGGCTGTGCCAAGCTGGGTGCCCACCCATCGCCCCTCGGGCACCCCGCTCCTCCGGGAAGGATTTCTTGTCTGCGATCGGCTCCCCGGGGCTTGTGTGTTCATTTTTAACTCTAGAGCTCTTAGCCGTTATCTTGTTCAGGTATCTCTCTTCTTCATGTGATGGTAACATCCAACTGGTGTGTAAAATACAGGAAAAAAAAAAAAAAAGACAAAAAAAGAAAAAAAAAAAAGAAAAAAAAAAATCAAGACAAAAGCCCAGACCAGCTGACGAGCGGCTGGAGCAAGGGGATGCCCGGCTGGCGATGCCACCCCGCTGCCGGTGGCTTTGCTTTTCTAATAACGGCAGCAGGGGCCGGGGCCGGCGCCGCGGGGAGGCTGGGGGCGAGGGCCGGGGCGCGCGGGTCGGGGCGCCTTCTTTGCAGAATCCTATTTTTGGGGAGCGGGGCCCCTCGTTTTCTGGAGGCCGCCCCTGTTCTCGGTAATAAAGGACAGTCAGTAACTGCCAGCGTGCCTCGTCTCTGGGCGCGGGGGGACGTGGGGGATGGCTTCTGTGGTCCCCCAGCAGCTGTGCCCGCAGCGAGCGCTGGTCGGAGTGGGGACGGGAGTCACAGTGGCACCTGCACCTGGCTGAGCATCCCCCCTCAAGCACCGAGCATCCCCCCCAGCACTGAGCATCCCCCCAGAACTGAGCTTCCCCCCCAGAGCTGGGCATCCCCCCAGCACCGAGCATCCCCCCGGCCCTGAGCATCGCAGCACCGAGCATCCCCCCGGTCCATGCACAGGGAGGGAGGAGGACGGGACAGGTGATGCTCGAGGACCCCTGGTGAAGGGGACACATGGTGGGGGGACAAACACTCTGAAGGGTCCCTGCAAAGGGAGGGGGACAAGGAAAGCCACCTGGCCAGCCTGTAAGGGCTGCAGGGTTGGGCCTGCTAACGAGGGCAGTTAACGAGGGCAATTAATGAGGTTTCATTAAGAGCAGCCCTAGCAAGAAGCTCTTTCCTATGTGAGGTGGCTCCAAGTGCTGGGAGGTGGCTCCTAGGAGCGGTGCGGGAGCCTGCCAGGGGTTGGGATCCCCCAGGGGACAATGCTGACAGCCCCAGCCTGCGCTGAGCCCGGTGACGCAGCCAGTCAGGTCCCCGTGGGCAGCACCCACACCAGGCGGGTGAGTGCAGGGCAGGATTGGGCCCTGGGGGGTGATGTGCTGGGTAGGGACTGGAATATGGCTCCGGGGAGGGGGGCAGAGGCAGGGGACCACGTCCCGGGCAGGTGCCTGTTGGCGAAGCAGGGGGCATGTGGCTACCTGGGAGCCTGGGGTGCTGGCTGGCACTGCAAAGGCTCGAGTGGCTGTGTTAAATAATTCACTGAACACCAGTCTTGAATAAATAAAAGAAATTCCAAACGCGGGGACGGCAGGAGGGCTGTGTCCTCTGTGCCCAGGATAGCATCCCTCTGGATCTGCCTTTCACGGGCTGAGACACGGTGTCGGAGGTGGCCAGTGGCAGCAGAGAACAGACGGGGACAAGGCTGGAGGTCAGGTCACCGCTGCTTGCACCCCTTCAGGCTCTGGTTTCTGTCCAGCTGAGCCAAACCTGGAGATTTTGGCAGCAACAAGCCACCAACGGCATCGGTGCCGCTGAGCCTGGCTGCTGTCTGGGCTGTGTTATACCAGAGCTGGGTTTCTTTCATCATGCTACATCTTTGAACGCAGCAAAAAGAAAAAATGCTTGTCCCCGTGCAGCGATCCCGGCGCTCCTGCGGCACGGAGCGGGTCCGAGCCGCAGCGATCCCCAAGCCCCTTCCTTTGTGCCCACAGCCAGCGGGAGCAGATGGAAATAGCAGCATGATCCCAGCTGCGGCGAGGCCACAAACCGTTGTACGCAGGGATGGGAGAGTAGGCAGGGATATATATAGAGACAGACGTATGGATGATGCACTGCGCACACGCCTCGCCGGGTGCTGGGGCTCGACGATGCCAGCATCCCCAAAATACTTGTGCGTAGCAGAAACGTGTGAGGTTCCCGCTGACTGCGGCGGCTCCTGGCCCTCGTGGCACCGCGCCGATTGCCGCTGGTGCCATCCCAACGCAGTGCCTGGACCCCGACCCAGCTCCTTCCCCAGCCAGAGAGTGAAACCCAGGGCTGCGGAAGGCTGGGGCGGTGGGAAACGGGTGCAGGGAGGCAGGGGACCCCCCCCTCCCCAGGTGTCAGAGCTTCTGGATCCGGTCCTTGCTGCAGGGACAGGCTGGTGGCACACAGAGCCACCCGCACCCCTTGCCCTGCCGAGCGCAGAGGGCTGGCAGGGGTCTGCACGGGGCCGGTGGCAGCAGAGGGGTTGTGCCAGGTAGAAGAGGACATCTGACTTATAGCTGGGGCTTGGAGTCCTGCAGGTCTCTGCCCGGGTCAGCACCCCGCGGGGCGACGGATAATTACCTGCTAATTAGCAGCACTGTCTCCCCAGGCAAAGCAGCAGCACCCCGCGTCACTGGCATGATCCCTGGGGGCCGGGAGCCACCCGCTGCCATACTTGGCACCCCAGGGTGCCCCACGCCAGGATGCTCTGCCTGCTACAAGCCACGACGGTGAAGGCTGCCTGGGTGGGAAGAGGGACCAACAGCCGGTACCTGTCCCCCCCGCCGGCAGAGCCGAACCGGAGGGGGAAGAGCGAGCCGAGCTCCTGCCAAGCCCCAAATCCACCATCCGCAAGTGGGAATGGAAACGGGGCCTCGTTACTGCTGGGAACGCGGGGGCTTCATCAGCCTGGCACCGACAGGCCCTGCGCATCCCGCAGATGAGGATGCTCCGCTGTGTCTAAAATAGCCACGGTTCCCGCCGCAGAGCGGGAAGGGAAGGGGAAAAAAAACTGGGCAGCATCTGCCCCGTGAGCATGGGAGAGGATGTGGCAGGAGCGCTGGCTGCTTCCCAGCCACCAAACCCAAACCCCTCGCAATTAAAAGCGGATGCGCGGTCTGAAACCTCCAGCAAGCCCCAGCCCTCGGAGGGAGCGTTCGGCGCCGGTGCGGCCGAGCTGCTCTGCCGCATCGGGATGGCTCAGTGCAGAGTGGAAGCATGGCTTGGAGACAGGCGGAGGAAAATGGGACTCCCTTGAACGTTAAAAATAAGAGGAGCAGTGGTCTTGCACCGGGATGTGTTGCCGGGGTTCCCGAACAGCCCCCTTCCCTGCTGCAGCCCCCTGCAGAAGAGACCCCATCACCTTTCTCTCACGCCAGGTTTTCTTGGGTTTGTGCTTTTTATTGCTTGAGTTTGGTACAAACGGAGCTCGGGGAGGGGAAGGACAAGGCAGCAGCCCTGGCTTCGATGCCCGTTTTGGGGCAGACAGAGCCGGCACTGGGGCTCCTCTTCCCGTACAGAGGCAAAACCCTTTCCAGGCTTGCGACGGGCAGCGCTTGTGCCCAAGCGGGGTTTCCATCGGCTCCTTCCCAAACCTGACAGTCGGGAGGAGCCTGGCGGAGAACTTCCCCCAGCCCAATTCCAGCGGCAGGACGGGGGATCTCAGGGGTGAGAAGGGGTCTGTGCGTTTGCTCTCGAACCCTGCTGCTCTTTGGGGTGATGGGATCCGTGTGGAATGGATGCAAATGGTGTTGCTTTGTCCTGTCCTGCCCCACGGAGCCAGGAGCAAAGGATGTGCGTGGTGGGAAGGTCCTCGTGCCCGTGGGCAGGCACCGTGGGGATGCCCAGCTCTCGGCAGCACCGTGCTGCCCGCCGGGGCCTGTCCAGCAGGCGAGTGGGGTCTGTGGGGTCCCGTCACGGCAGAGGGCTGTTCCCCCATCCAAGGCACCCTGCGGTTATGTGGGATGCTCTAAGGTGGGCTTGCGGATCCCAGTGGTGACCCACGAGCCCTGCAGATCCAGGCAGCTCTTTGCAGTCCCGGCTGGGAGATGCTGGTCCTCGGACCGTTTTCCTTCACGTGGAGGCCGTGAACTTCCTTCTTCCCCAGCCCTAGCTGGGAGATGGTGGTTCTCGGGAGCCCGGTGGAGGCTCCCTGTCCCTCCGCGGTGCATCCCTGTGGGTGTCTGGCTGCAGCGTGGTGGCTCATGTTTCCCCTGGGGTGCCCGGCAGGGCTGCAAAGCTGCTCTCCCCATTTTCCAGCAGCGGGGAGCCATCCCCGGGGGCTGCTGGTGGGGCCTCGGTGCCTTCCTCCTCCTCCTCCTCCTGCTTCTGGAGGATCTGCAGGCGTTCCTGCCGCGCCTCCATGAACTCCTGCGCCCCGTCGCCCACCAGCCGGACGGCATCCCCGACCTGGGGTGGCTGCCGGACGGGATTGTGGTCGTAGGAGAGGAGGCGGAGGGCAGAGAGGCAGGCCAGGTCGGGGAAGCGGGCGATGCGGTTGCGATCCAGGTCGAGGACGCGGAGGTGAGCCATGCGCAGCAGGGCCGGAGGGAATTCCTCGAAGCGATTCCCGTAAAGCCAAAGCCCCCGCAGGCCGGCCATGCGGGGCAGCCCGGCGGGCAGGCGGGCCAGGCGGTTGTCGCCCAGCTGGAGGCTGCGGAGGTCGGGCAGGCGCAGGAGGGCTCGGGGGAAGCGGGCGAGGAAGTTTCCCTCCAGCCAGAGGCAACGCAGGCTCTGCAGGCGGGGGGGGGGGGGGGGGGGGGCCC